CTCTGTCTCTCATGAATAAATAAATAAATAATCTTTAAAAAAAAAACACACTCCTAACAGTTTCTATTGTGCAATTTCGTTTGTCTTACCCTACACAATTTGAACCCAACGCTTGTATGTAGGCTTAAAAACACACACACACAAAAACCAAACAGGATTTGCTTTCTGGTTTATTTTCTATCCCTGACAAAATGTTGAAAAGATCCCCCTTGCGTGCTGCTAAAGGTGACAGCAAGAACCATGAGAAACTTAGCTGTGCTGCTTCAGAAAAAGAACACGGATCACCACGAAAATTTAAACGTTGGTACATAGTGGTTTTGCCATGCTTCAGGCTGAGCTTACAAAAGTTCCTGACTGTGGGTGCCTGGGTGGCTCAGCTGGTTAGGCGACTGCCTTTGGCTCAGGTCATGATCCTGGAGTCCCGGGATCGAGTCCCACATCGGGCTCCCTGCTCAGCAGGGAGTCTGCTTCTCCCTCTGACCCTCCCCCCTCTCATGCTCTCTCTCTATCTCATTCTGTCTCTCAAATAAATAAAATCTTTAAAAAAAAAAAAAGTTCCTGACTGTGCTATAGTGCGGATGGAGGAAGTCTCGGCGTTTCAGTTCTCAATGAAGAAACGAGGGCTCTGAGGCTCTCGGAGTGGACCTGCCCACGACGTGTGGCCACAGGTGGCCCAGCTGAGGCCCCGCCGGGCTCCTGCAGGTTGTGGCAAGGACGCTGCTGCATCCGCTCTGAAGCCCAGAGGTTCTGCAGAAACCTGACCGTGGCGAAATCGACAAATACCAGAAACCAGAAAGAAGACCGAGTACGTGGACCCCTTCACCCTTTCCCTCCTGTGGCCTGATTTCCCTTCCTCTTGCCCTTGAGCACCCTTTTAGGGAGCCAGCAGAAAGTTCTTCAGGGCAGCCTCGCACTGCGGGGCCATGTGGGAGGGAGGCTGTGCTCCCCAAATACCGCAAACCCTCTCTGTTAGCTTCAAATACCGCCTATATCACCAGCAATTCCAGAGTTTCCAGGGCTTTCTTCCCGGGGCTATAGATTCTCCTACCCAGGTGTGTACTTGCTTCTCCACCCGGAAGCCACACGGGCCACACAGATGCCATATGGTGGTCTTACTCCCCAAGCCGGCTCCTCCACCTGCATTTCCTACCTCACCAAAGGGCGACCAACCCCCAGTGGCTCATCCTAAAAATCAGGGAATCATCTTTGATACCTCTCTCTGTCTTGCCTCTGCCTCTCGTCTTGCCCCTGCCGATTCCTGATAATGATTAAATTCTATAGAGTGTACTTCCAAAATGCCTCTTGAATCCACCCATATCTCCACATCGCTGCCATCTCCTCCAACCTGTCCCAGCCACCACCATCAGCCAGTGGCCCGATTGCCGGGATCTTGTCTCATCCTCCTCCCAGGCCATTGTCCACCAGTGATCTTTTTGATATGTTGCTTCATCCTTCTGCTTAAACTCCCCAGTACTTCCCATTATTTTCAGGATAAAACCCACTGATCCTCCTGTACCCCACTGGATGAACCACCCCTACCCCCAGCCTCACCTGGAGCCACACGTGTCCCTCTTATTCTGCACTAGCAGAACAGCCTCTGTCTTCCACACAAGACCGGGCTCCCTTTAGCCCTACAGCAGTCACACAGGCCAGAGCATGCTCCTGCCTCCCTAGGACTGAGGTATAATGTCACTACTTGACGCAAGTCTTCCTTTCCTCCAAGACCGGATCAGGTCCCTACACCCCATTTCTCTTCCATGGCATTGTCACAGCTGTAATTAAAGACTCACTTGTATAAGATATTTATCCGTCATCACCCTGTAACTTCACGAAGGCAGAGGCCACTGCTGGTTTTCCTCCCTACTGATTACAGGCCCTGTACCATGTCTGGCAGAGAGTGTAAACTCAGAAAATGTGGGTGAACTCTGGCCTGAAGAACACCAACGACCATCACAGACACATCCTTTTGACTTTCTACGTTCATTTCGGGTGGATATTACATACCCATTTTACAGATGATCACATTGACTTCTCTTGAACTTACATGATTTACCCAAGGGCATGAAGATAGCAAGTATCAGGATTTAAAGTCAGGACTCCAGAAGCTACTTGAAAATATATCCTTGAGGCACAAAATCACTTGTTATAGCCCAGCTTTCCCTCCACTTTCATCTCCGCGGCCACTCTGTTCTTCACCCCATTCTTTGCCATTTCTTTCAGGATTATTATATTCACAAGAACTTCTTAAATCCCTGCATGTAAGTGACCACGCACTGAGGGATAAAAAAGTGACCAAGACCAAGTTCTTTACCTGAAGGATACCACAGTTTGTTAGAAGTAACTAACTACTTTAGTTCTCCAACCTTGAATTTGTTGGAACTGCTTCAGCTGTTAAGTTACATAAACTCAACTAAAACTGGCTTCAGCAGGAAAAGGAATATATCAGCTCACATAAATGGCAAAGTCCGGATGTAGTTAAGCTTCAGGCATGGTTGTATCCAGGAGCTTAGTTAGTGTCCTCATGATGCAGTCACTCTCTGTCTTCATCTTTTGGGTTTTCTTTTCTCTACTGATTTTATTCATGGCCAGGCTCTCTCCACTTGGTGGCAAAAATGGCTTCAGACAGCTCCAGGCTCCCACAGTGCTCAATGCCTGCTATCACAGAAAGACAGAGACTCTGCCAGGAGCTGAGGGTGACGCCTATCAGCCCACCTCTGGTCATGAGCCTCTCCTTGCATCAATCACGGTGGCCTGGGGGACGGACTATTGTAGTCCATTCAACACACTCATTTAGAGCTCTAGTAGGGTCAGTACCACACAAATCACATGATCCCTGTAGGGGAGAGAAATAGTACTCCAAAGGGAAACTGGCATGCCGTTACAGAAAGGTGAAAGTCGGAGATTCCCAACACCCTTGCTCTTGGTTTCTTGCCCTCACCCACTCCTTTCCTGGGCCCCCCTCATTCTCCCTTGTTCCCGTCTTACGGGCTTTGCACTTGCTGACCTGTGCTGAGAAGCCCTATCTTCCAGATCTTTCCATGACTGGTTCTTACGCTTCAGATCTCCAGTCTAATGCCATCCTTTTCCAGAGGCCTTCTCAGACCCCCCTGAAGAGTCACTCAGTCATTCTCTCAGACTTCACTTTGTTTATTTGCTGGATCTAATGGAGCAGTTGAGCAATTATTACTTTGTTTACTCTGTGTTTTGCTCTCATCAGAATGTAAACTCTGTGCATCAGGGGGATGCCCATCTATTTTGTTCACTTGTTGAATCTGCACAGTTTAGAACAGCGCTCAACACGAAACAGTGCTCAATAAATATTGGTTGGATAAATGAAAGGAATCTGTGGTGGCATCTAGTGAGAGACCAAGAAGAGCTTCTTGGAAGAGGTGGCCCTTAAAGAAAGTGAATAATTTTTACTGTGGTAAATATATATAACAAAATTGTACCATTTTAACCATTCAAAGTATACAATTTAGTGGTTTAAATATGTTTGCAATGTTGTGCAATCATCATCACCCCTATCCTTTTCCAGAAAGTTTTCATCTTCTTTAATTTGCTGTCCCTTTTCCTACCAGTCCCCTGGCAACCATGACTCTACTTTCTGTCTCTATGAACTTGATGAGCCTAGGTACCTCATGTAAATGGAATCATACAATCTTTGTCCTTTATGGTCTTGCTTATTTCACTTTGCGTGTTTTCAAGATTCATTCATGTTGTAGCATGAGCTACAATTTCTTTTTAAAACTGAATAATATTTGGGGCGCCTGGGTGGCTCAGTTGGTTAAGCGACTGCCTTCGGCTCAGGTCATGATCCCGGAGTCCCGGGATCGAGTCCCACATCGGGCTCCCTGCTCGGCGAGGAGCCTGCTTCTCCCTCAGACCCTCCCCCCTCTCATGCTCTCTCTCTCTATCTCATTCTCTCTCTCAAATAAATAAATAAAATCTTTAAAAAAAATAAAAAAAACCTGAATATTTGAACAAAGAAAAAAGAAAAGACAAACCCAAAAAACAGACTCTTAACAAGAGAGAACAAACTGCTGGTTACCAGAGGGGAGGCAGGTGGGGGATGGGGGAAGTAGGTGTTGGGGATTAAGGAGGGCACCTGCATCACCTAAGTGATGAGCACTGAAAAATGTATAGAATTGTTGAATCACTATATTGTCCACCTGAAGCTAATATAACACAGTACGTTAACCATACTGGAATTAGAAATTTTTTAAACTTTTTACAAGACAGAATCGTATTCCATCATATGTATACATCACATTTTGTGTATTCACTCACCTGTTGACGGATATTGGGGTTGTTTCCATCCCTTGGCCACTGTGAATACTGCTATGAACATGGTCGTACAAGTTTGTGTTCGAGTCCCTGCTTTCAGGTCTCTGGGGCACACACTCAAAGGAGGAATTGCAGGATCGTACGGCAATTCTGTGGCGATGTGTAATTTTTTGAGGAACCACCGTACTGTCTTCCAGAGCGGCCGCACCAATTTGCATTCCCACCAGCAGCACATAAGGACTCCGGTTTCTCCGTATCCTCGTCAGCACTTATTTTATTTTTCATTTTTGGGATCACGGTCAGCCTCAAGGGTGTGACAGAGGGCGAAATTCTGACAGACAGAGGAAGGACAAGCCAGCCTTTCAGGCAACAGAAGCCTGGAGGGGCTCCGGTGTGCAGTGGATCGAGTAGCCCGCGGTCTGATGTCAAAATCCATGTGGGGTTCTATTTACCGCCCTCTCCTGGAAATGTCCAATTCCGTAGAGTATTGGCAAGCCCCCGCCTCCCCGCACCTTCCAATGCCGCTGCCAGGGTTCCTGTTGACTCAGGCGTCCTGGAAGCCAGCGGCTTGCGTGAGAGGGTGGTGGGCCAGGGACCTGGGCACTGCCACACGAGAGGTGAGCCAGTCACCATCACAATGACCAGGGACTGTGACCAAAGCAGCCTGCATTGCGTATCTCAAGGACAGGTGCGGCAGTGCAACAAAGTGGTGGGACTCTTCACGCAGCGGGGCACCTGGAGCGGGAAGGGCAGGAGCATCGTCATCCTCTTGGCAGAAGGAGGGGTAGGGGCTGTTTGCACTGAGGCTGGCCCCCGGCCCCAGGAGGGGAGCTGTCCACGCACAAAACCGAGGGGACATAGGACTATTTGAGGTCTGGCAACTGCCATGCTCAGCCACAGCGCCCCGATTGTAGTGAGGCTCAGGGCGGTGTTCCGCGGGAATGGAGTGGAGAACCAGTCACGAACTGGGAGCTCAGATTGCTCCCCAGCGCCCAGCTGTGAGGCTCCCCACTAGGACTTCAGGGCTGGGGAGTGAGGGGCAGGATTGGACGTATCTGCTGCTATTGTTCAGCTGGGAAAGCAGAGCCTCACAGCTTTCTTCACCCTGGATACCCCCAACCCCACTAGAACACATGGTTGGTGCTTCTGGATCAGGGCGCCCCTAAGTCCTAGGCCTGCAGCCTCCTTCTTCAGGGCAGCTCAGAGCCCTGGTTCAGTGGGACCCGAGTGTTGGAGTCAGCTCATCCTGGCTCTGGGAGCCCATTCCGTGTACATCTTTGCAACTCCACATTAGTGACATTATGTCGATAGCCTGAAATGGGCCGTGGTGTGAGCATTTACACCATAGAAACTGGTAAATGCTACCAACCACTGCTTATTTATTTGCCACAAAAAGGTGGTTATTAAAGATTTACCAGCACACTACCTGCCCCGCTTGAGAGGTGAATCTGATGTTCTCAACAGCTCTGATTCCTTCTGGGACCTGCTCCTGCCCCTTCGTCCCAGGACCCCTGTCCACCTGCCCATTGGTCCTTGCTGCTGCCATCAACCCCTGGATGATTGAGTAACGTGCAGGGGAAGTCTAAGAGGACTTGCTGGCTTGGCACACGGCTTTGGGGACAACGGGTGTTTCCCCCAGCCTGGGGCGGAAGCAGGGCTATAACCAACTTGTCTGTGTCTAGGTTGTCTGCTATGGCAGGTGTGGTGTACCCCAGACAGGTGAGTGTTGTGGGTTTCTGTCGCCTGTGACCACCTCAAGGTTGAGCAGCTTTAGCAGACAGGCCCAGGCACCTTGGGCTCCCTCTGGTTGTCATTCTGGAATGATGTGTGTACGTGTGTGTGTGTGTGTGTGTGTGTGTAATAGGCAGAGGAAAGTAATGATTTATGGTTTTCTGGGGGCTCACTTATTTATTCAGGATGCATTTAATAGGCACCCGCGCTGTGTCAGGCCCTGTGCTGGGCTTCGAGCCTGCAGAGATGCCAAAGATTAGGTCCTAATCTAGTATACTTCATTAAATCAATTACAATTACCATGGTAAGTGCTGTAATGAGGGACGCAAAATGTGCTGTGAAAACAGAGGAGAAAGAGTTTAATTTGGGGGAGGTGAATAGAAGGGTGGGATAGTTGTTTGGGGGGAGAAATTTAATCTGGGTTTTGGAGGATATGTAGGAGTTTGTCAGTCCATGAGGAGTCCCAGGAGCATTTCCAGCAGGAGATAAGAGCATGCGCATCTGCGAAAAGTGGAGTGTAGTGAGGCTGGAGTGCAGAAGGCATGGAGGGGAGTCAAGCGGGGCCAGATGGCAAAGGTCAGTAGAAGCCAGATCATGGGGGCTCCGAATGCCAGGCCCAAAAGTTGGTCTTGGTCCTATGGGCCATGAGAAGCCGTTGAATGCCTTTAGGTGGAAGAAGGTCAAGACGAGGTCTCTTGTTTGTAATCTCCCTTGCCCTTCAGGCCCCTGTGGATTTAGACATATACAAAAGCTCCTACATGGTTGACTATCAACACTACGGGAAGCACAAATACTCCAGAGTCACACCACAAGAGGTAAGAAGTTATTCGGTCTTGTCTTCTGTGCAGTGGCCCACTGAAATCATCTTTACTTCGTCTTTATTTTGTGTGGATATTGGGGGCACTTATTTAGAACAGTATCTGATGCTGGGAGAGCTAAAGAAGTCTTTTATGTGTGTGCTTTGCGTGTACGTTTTAAAACGTACATCAGCCCTAAGTCATGCACACGAGAGTGTAAACGATATACATTCACAGTTTAAATAACATTGACAAAACAAACACCAGTGTACTCGTTATCAGCCGGCTGAATGAAAACATAGCACATTAGAAGTACCCTAGAGCCCCCAGGGGACCCCTCCCTGCTCCCACTCCTCCTCCCACCTCCAGAGGTAGCCACTCTTCTGAATTTTGGGTTAATCATTCCCTTGGGGGTCTTTAAAAAAAATAGTTTTCCTCTATATGTATCCCTGTAAACAAACTGTTGAGGTTTGCCTTTTTGAGCTCTGTTATACATCGGATATTTGTACTCTGTGACTTTTACTTCTTGCCAAACATTACGTTACTTATAATATATTATTCATTTTCTGCTGTGTTGTATTACATTGCATGAATACGCCACCATATATTTGTCCCCTCTGCTGTTGGACGTCTGGGTTTTTACTTGTCTGCTACTCCTATTGTCCTATGCTGCAGTGCGGATTACACAGCCTAAGGCACAGGAGTCCCCGGCCCAGGAGGGGAATTGCTTGTCCCAGGGAACATTGCTATTGGCCAAAGTGGCTGCATCACTGGAGCAGGGGACAATCGTTCTGTGGCTCTCCAACCTTGCCATCAACTTGGTATTAAAGACTTTCCAATTTTGGCTAATTTGGTGGGTTTGAAAGAATATCTTCTTGTGCTCATAATTTTCATTTCACTGCTTATTAATGAGATTCAGCATCTTTTCATATGTTTATGGATATTTATTATTCTGCGAGATGGCTGTCATGTCTTTTGCCCATGTTTTTTTTATTTTTTTAATTTTATTTTTTAAGATTTTATTAATTTATTTGACACACAGAGAGAGAGAGACAGCAAGAGACAGAACACAGCAGGGGGAGTGGGAGAGGGAGAAGCAGGCTTCCCGTGGAGCAGGGAGCCCGATGCAGGGCTCGATCCCAGAACCCTGGGGTCATGACCTGAGCCGAAGGCAGACGCTCAATGACTGAGCCACCCAGGTGCCCCTTGCCCATGTTTTTATTGGGATGCTTGTCTTTTTCTTCTTGATTTGTAGGAGTTTTGTAAATACTCTAGACATGTTTCATTTGTCAGTTATAGAAATGGCAACACTCTTCACAGGCTGTGGTCTATCTTTTCACTCCCTTTCAGTGAATAGAAATTTTTACTTTAATATAGTTGGATGTACAGTCTTTCCCTTTATCATTTGTCCTTTTTAAATCTTGTTCAAGAAATCCTTTTCTTATCTCCAGGTAGATCCACTAAAAATAAGAAAATCCATGGAAACAAAGATGGAACAATTTCTGGGATATAGTATTTAACGGAAGCAAAATGCAGAGTGGGATTATAATGTGCATCAGTTGCGTACAAGGCAGGCGGTGTAAAATTCATTATATGTTTATGCAAACATAAGCTATATCTAGAGAGATAGAAAAAACACTTACCTCAGTGGTTGCCTCTGGAGATGGGCTCCAAGGGAGGAAGAGGGGTGGGAAAGACACTGACTTTTCACTAGAAACCCTTTTCTACTATTTCAGTATTTCCCTGGGTCGTATATATCGCCATTCAAAAACCAATTTAAATTTTTTTTAACTAAAGAGAAGTGTGCTCTGTCTTGGATGAGGCCAAGGAAGCTTGCTTGCTTCACCTTTCACCCGCCTCAGCCGTCCATTCCTGTGTGACTTATTTCCACAGCAAGCGAAGCTGGATGCCCAACTCCAGGACAAAGAATTTTATAGGGTCGTCCCCAGCTCCAAGCCCAGGCTAGAGGATGGATACCCCGCCTTCAGAAAACCCCACATGACCGCCAAAGACCTGGGACAGCCTGGCTTCTTTCCCCCGCAGGATCAGGACCGTGTGGCCGCAGCGGAGGAGGAGTGCAGGTTCACCAGTATATGCCCTTCCGTGTACCCCGTTTCCCACGCCCTGTACCCGGCCCAGGGTGCCCCCAACCGGGTCCGCCAGAGCGCCGGCTTTCCGTGCCTCCTGGAGCCCGAGGTCCAGCCTGCGCCCGAGGAGGGCAAGAGCTACTTTCTACTGCCTGGCTGCCTCTGTCCGTATCACCATGAAGTCAAGTTCCCCATCTTGAAACGATGGGGGCCCATGATGCCATTTTACCAGTAGGAAGGGTGAGAGCGCCTTCAGGGGCGCTGCGGACATCCTCCCTCTCCCAAGGAAGTCCGACCTTGGCACTTGGAGAACCGCCAGGAGGACTGAAAATAAAACCCTGGGAAGCCGTTCCAGCAGCACTGAGGGTGTTTGTTCTCCCTTGTTCCCTGGCCTGTCCCAGGACAGCATCTGCACCCACGCACCACCTGCGGAGGGGAGAGGCAGGGACGGCAGGGGGGGAGAGGGGAGGGCGCGGGGGGGGGGGGAGGAGAAGGGAGGGAGCAAAACTGGTGTGTGTGGAGGCTGGAATGTGTGTGACGTCGCATGACAACGAAGAGTCCTGCTGGAAAGATTCTTGTTTTAGGCATTTACTTACAAAATGGGACAAATCTCGTTTCCCATAGTTGTCTGAACGTTGAGGGTGACTGTAAAATGCTGTTGGGTAACCTTCCCTCAGGACGCTTAGTTTGCTCACCACGCCCACCCCGTAGCCCATTTCCAGGGCATCATTTTATACTTTCCTTCTTGCTCAGTGGAGCCTCTGTAACCATATCCACGTATGAGTGGGTTAGGAAACAGGTAGAGCTGCCGAACTAGGAACCGAGGTGTAGTGCCTTGAACATCCTAGTTTCTCCCAGTCTAACATTTCGGAGGTAGGCCGCCGAGTCCGGTGGGGCGCCTCTGCTGTGGTTCCCATCTCTGTGTCCAAGGTGGCTGCCACAGACTAAACTGTGGCCCCCTCACCCCCCAGATTCAGAGCTTGAAGCCCTGACCCCCAATGTGACTGTATTTGGAGACAGGGACTTTAGGAGGTAATTAGGGTCCAATGAGGTCATAAGGGTGGGACCCTGTTCTGATAGGATTGATGGTCTTCTAAATAGAGGAAGAGAAAGAGAGTTCTTTCTCTCCCTCTCTCTCAGCATGTACACACACACACACACACACACACACACACACACACACACACACGAACAGCCAGGTGAGGACACAGCCTGGAAGGCAGCCATCTGCAAGCCGGGAAGAGAAGCCTCACCAGAGACCAAACCCTGCCAGACCTTGATCGTGGACTTCCAACCTCCACAATTGTGAGAAAATAAATTTCTGTTGTTGAAGCCCGCCGGCCTGTGGTATTTTGTTATGCTAGTCCAAGCTAAGACAGTGAGTGACTCATTCAGTTATTGACATTTTCCTGGGAGCAGAAAGCAAGAAACGCCCAGAGGAATACAGGTGTATTCCCTTTTAGGGGCACAAGACAGATAGATTCTTCTTCGCTTCCAGTTCCATCCTCTTGGCCAGAGCTCAGCACATGGTCCCAACAAACTACAAGGAAGGCTGGGAAATTCACCTTAGTCGTGGGTGGCCCTGAGCCCAGCAAAAAATGAGAAGTTAGAAGAATAGAAGGAGAGGATTATTTGGATGGTTGACTATCTATTTTTGCCACAATACATGAGAAGGCTTTCCCATTGAAATCATCCTATACACCAGTGCTTCCCTAGGGGATCTTGTTAAAATGCAGATTCTGAGTTGGTTAGTCTAGGCTGGGGGCAAGATTCTGCATTTCCAATAAGCTTCCAAGTGTGTGGTGCTGCTGGAAAGGAGACTGTACCTGAGTAATTAGGCTCTCTACACAGTACTCAGCGTCTTCCTTTTCTCTTGGCAAGTCATTACTTACAGGTCTAATTATTTTTAATGGCTGCCTGGTATTCCATTGAATTGATAAATCTTGATTTATTCAACTATTTCCTTATTGGGGGGCAGTCATGCTTTTCCAATTTCCTTCCTACAAATTATGCAGCAATAACAATTCATGAGCATATATCCTTACAAATGATGCTTTTATTTCTGTAAGACAGAGTCTTACGAGTGCTGGGTTTGTGCTGGGTCAAACGGGGCGAATGCTTGGTGCTAATAGATCCCACCCGAACAGCCCCCTTCCTCCTTCCCATCTCCTCACCAGTGCAGAGATATAATCAATCTTTTTTTGATTTTTGCCAATTTCATGAATGGAATATGGTATCTCATCTCGGCTTTAATTTGCAATTACTTGGCCACTAGTGAGATACAGGATCTATTTTATCTCATTAGCCATTGGGTTTCTGAGTTGCATCTTTTTTTTTTAAGATTTTATTTATTTGGGGTGCCTGGGTGGCTCAGTTGGTTAAGCGACTGCCTTCGGCTCAGGTCATGATCCTGGAGTCCCGGGATCGAGTCTCACATTGGGCTCCCTGCTCTGCGGGGAGTCTGCTTCTCCCTCTGACCCTCTTCCCTCTCGTGCTCCCGATCTCTCATTCTCTCTCTCTCAAATAAATAAATAAAATCTTTAAAAAAAAAGATTTTATTTATTTGTTTGACAGAGAGAGACACAACGGGAGAGGGAACACAAGCAGGAGGAGTGGGAGAGGGAAAAGCAGGCCTCCCGCTGAGCAGGGAGCCCAACCGGGACTCGATCCCAGGACCCTGGGATCACGACCCGAGCTGAAGGCAGACGCTCAACGACTGAGCCACCCAGGCGCCCCTGAGTCACATCTTTTGCCCTGAATTATCTTTCTTCTTACCGGTTTATAGGAGGTTTTTTTCACATGGCCATGTTAGCCCTTTATCTAGGACATGTTCCAAACATGTTCTGTCTTTTAAATATACAATTTAAAATATGTAATCCGAACATATTTTGTTCTAACATAAAATGAATACCTTCGGTAGAAAATGTTGCAAAGTGAAGAAGATGTGAAGAAGGAAAAGAAATCACCTCAATCCCACTGCTCAGTCAAGAGACAGCTCCTGTTAACACTTTGATGCCCGGGCTGCCAGACAATGGTTAGATCCTTGGGCTGTTGAGCCAGACAAATCTGGGGTTCCACCCATGCCTCAGTTTACATCTTAGCAGCTGAGGGGTATGGAAAGTTTTAACTTTCCATTTATTTAACACATAGTTACTTCCACAAAATGGAAAGTTATTCCATGTCTCTGAACAGCAATGTCCTCATTAGTAGAAGCACTAATAACGCTCCTACCTTTTGAGTAAACACTCTTCCCACAGCATCTGAGATACAGTCAGTGTTCAGGGAGAACTTTTATAGGCATTTTTACAGATCTCATACTCAATATGTCATTTCAAATCCTGCTCCATCTTTGTGGCATTAAGTATAAGCATTGCCACTCACCTCAAACTTTATAAATATCCTTGCATGAACCTACCATAATTACTATTGTTAGACATTCAAGTTGTTTCCAATTATGTATTTTTCTCTTGCAAATTAGGCTACAGAATAAACTTTTTTTCTATAATAGGGAGAAAAAGAAGCAAAGTTATGTGTCAAGGTGTATGGATATATTCTCAATGAGTATCACCAACCCGCTTTCTAAACAGGCATTACCTTTAATATTAAGGAATCATTTCTTAGGTGTGATGATGGGATTTTGGTTATGTTAGAGAGACTTCATTTTGAAATACTTACAGGAGAGATGATATCTGAAATTTACTTTAAAATGCTGTAGCAAAGGGTCCTGGGTGGCTCAGTCGGTTAAGCATCTGCCTGTGGCTCAGGTCATGATCCCGGGGTCCTGGGATCGAGTCCTGCATAGGGTTCCCTGCTCAGCAGGGAGCCTGCTTCTCCCTCTCCCTCTGCTGCTCCCCCTGCTTCTGTGCTCTCTCTCTCTGCCAAATGAATAAATAAAATCTTTAATAACTAAATAAATAAATAAAATGATGCAGCAAAACAGTGTTATTAGAACAAGGGAATAAGTAAAACAAGATCAGTGACAAAATAAAAGCTGTAGCTGGTGATGGGTGCATGGAAGTCCATTATCCTACTCTCTCCACTTTTGTGTGTGTTTGAAATTTCCCATCACAGACATTAAAACAGAAAGGAAAGGTGGAAGAGAGGGAGGGAAAGGAAGAAAGGAAGGGAGGAAAAAAGAAAGCTGCACCCCTTTAGATTACTGCTAGCCATTTATAAGCATGTCTAATTCACACTACCTTTGTCATCCTTCCACCTCGCAGTAAGAAAGAAAGAGAAGGAAGGAAGGAGGGAAGGAAGGAAGGAAGGATGGAAGGAAGGAAGGAAGGAAAGGGAGGGAGGGAAGAAGGAAGGAAGGAAGGGAGGAAAGGGAGGGAGGGAAGAAGGAAGGGAGGGAGGGAGGGAGGGAAGGAGGAAGGAAGGAAGGAAAGGAAGGGAGGGAAGAAGGAAGGAAGGAAGGAAAGGGAGGGAGGGAAGAAGGAAGG